AAATCTTGCAAAGATAATAAAAAAGGCAGTTACATACATACATATGTCAGAAATGTAGATAAAGATATATCTTAATTCGGTAACTAAATAGTTCGGTATCTCGGAGTGGCGATTCTGACTTTTAATTTAGCGTAAATGTAAGCTATACCATTAGGACTGGGTTCCATAGACAATTTTTTAACCTAATATTACGTAGCTCATCTTTAAGCGAGATCTATGTATGTGAAAAGTGAAAAAAACTTTAATTTTATTTTGGCTTAATACAGATGTTCCAGCCCTAAATTAACCTTTAATGTTGGCAATTTTACGCTGTTGATCATTGGGGCCCATACCTGTTGTTATTCTCCAACTTTATCCCGAAACGTTCAAAGTTTCCTTCTTTGATAATGTGCCGATAAATTTATTTTTAATAGATTTTCTTATCATTTTGAAAATAAGTTTGATATTTAAAATTCAGAAAAACATAATAAAAAGTGATTGGTCTGAAAATTACCCGTAACCCGAGAATTTTCTCACAAAGCGCAAAACTAGCCATAGCGGCCCAAAATTTCTGAGTGTCAACTAAATTCATTGTTTTAAGTAAAAAAATTTCGCAAGTCTTAATTCTGTTATCCGAAAAACAGAGGCGTAAGAAATCACTACCAAAAGTTTTGAATTGTTTTTGTATGCGTTTGCATGCAGCTCAAAGAAAGCGGGGAAGGGTGAAATAGGCCGGAGCGCGATCAGCTAGTCGTAGTACAAAATGTCCTATGAAATCAAATCGACACCATTTTTTCGACGCATGGTTAGTGCCAGCAAAAAGAATGGCCAGCTGCAGCGGTTGAAGGAGGAATATGAACGTATTAAGGCGTTCAACGATCGTACAATCGAAATAAAGATGCGTCAGATACGCTTGAAGCGCCTATTTCGCGAGATCGAAGAAATCAAGGAGTCATCATCGCAGTGCAAACAACGACGCGTAGCCCCAGATCGTTTGAAAACAAACGAGGAGATGCGTATGGAGACGCTGCTCAAGGCCAAGGCGCTGGGAAAGGAGTATTCGAAAATGAATGCGTTGGCTGATCGTTGTACATCGCGTCTTTATACTATGGGGTCGGGTGCTGCTGTCGAGTGCATGCCTTCGCGCGTCGAATTGGAGCGCAAAGCGCGTTCAGATAAACGCATCAGTTACGGCAATGATTGTTCGCGCATGAATATACAAAAGATTGCAACAGCGCATCGTAAGCCGGCTGGCAAGCAGGTACTCGCTGGGGAAAAACGACTCAATGCATTAAAAGAGAAACTAAAAACTCGGCTATCGTTTGGCAACTCGTGTTCCCATCGCAATCTAGCGAAGAAAGTCAAGAAAGAAAGCCACAAAAAGACTACTGATGCCGCATCAATTAGCTTGTTAACCAACTCACAAATTGCACATATGCTGGAACGAGACTCCCAATGCCAATTCGCGTGTGCCGCTGAGTCTAATGAGCTGCCGATTATGTCGTTTACCGATTCTGCACAGCATCGCAAAAGCTTCGCCGATATATGCACAAGCAGCAGTTCTCGAACAATCGCCAACCAGCCAGATGGCACTGCCAAAAGTGAAGAAGATCCACATGTTCGCGCGAGACGACACTGGCGCAGGCTCGCACTCATTGCACGCCATCGCCTTGACACACTTGGTCGTTGTTATATGCAACCTTCCATAGAAAATACCCAAGAAGAAGACTCGGAAGAGTATACTTTGCGCGGAATTTCCAATGACACTGACCTGCCAATTAGTCAACTTTGTGGCAAACTTGCGCCACCTGATTCGGAGAGTGATCTATCGCTCGGTGAGCTGTTGCTGAGCGTTGAGTCGCTCGCTCCATTGGAGATGCAACCACTGCCGGATCCTACGACAATTTGCACAGGAGCACGAACTACTGACGAGGGCACCAATCAAATGGATACGCGACGCAAGGTGCAGCAATATGTGAAAATAGGTAAGCCGATTGTGCATGCGGCACAGAAAGAGTCTTCAGAGTTAGGTTTTGAGAAGATTCGCAGTATTTTCGAACATCAGACTGCCGCAGCAGTAGAGGCGCACGAAATGGGAACGGAGAAGTAGAATAGCTTTCGCTGTATGTATGTATGTATGTCTCAATAGGCGGAAAAAAGATGCGGTGTACATTATTTTTGGATTAAAATGTAAAATTCTATGAGGATTGTATTTTTTTTAGTCATGGCAACACGCCAAAATATTACAATTAGTCTTTAGTAAGTGAAAACAGCGTGAAGTTAAAATATTTTTATATGATTATTTTGGCATTTTTATACATATGTACATAGATACATACGTATGTATATATTTAGAAGATTTGCTAACTCTTGTTTTATGTGCCAAGTTACAATGTTAGTATATTCGAATTTGCTGCTATTTCTTATGCAGGCGCTTACATAGACACACCATAGTTCATTCCAAATAGACTTAATCAAATAAACTGCCATTGTACCATAGCACAGTTAAAAATTTCAGTTAATAAAAAAATTTAAAAGCAAAATTAATAAACTTTACCTATTATTATACTTGTATGTACATTAGACCTTACAAACAAACAAAAAACGTTCGCCGTACGCTCCTGCGTCTAAAGTATGCAACACAAGTTTGCAACACAATTTCTAAATTTTTTTTTTACAGAAGCTAAAAGTCACCTTTTTACAGTTTTCGGTAACACCAACATTTGGCAATAAAAAATTGATCTCTTTTAAATATGTAGCTCTAGTGGAATAATAGAAATACTTCATTATAGAAAATAGAAAATTTTCTCCTTGAGGCAAAAACATCGATATAGCATACTTTACGGTCCGACTGTAAATACCGAAGATATAATGAAAAATACGGCGATATAACAAAATAACGACGGCCGACCCCAACGTTCGGCGAAAAAAAAGTTTCTCTTCTGTACCAAATGACGCCAATTAGAAAAGGCCAAGTGAGGCCAAGTCCTTCTCCGCTTGGTCTTTCCACCGCTGTGGGGCCTTCCTCTTCCTCTTGAATATTTTCAGAGCTGGAGCGTCGGTGTCCATTAGAACGACATGGCTAAGCCAGCGGAACCGCTTTATTTTAATTCGCTGCACTATGTCCATGTAATTGTAAACCTCATTCAGCTCATCGTTCCATCGTCTTGGATAGTCGCCGTCGCCAATGCGAAAGGCCCGTAAATCTTCCGCAAAGTCTTTCTCCCAAATAATCAAAAGAGCCGCCTCATTGGATGTTACCCACACGGATATGATGAGTGACTTATAGAGTATAGTTTTCGTACGTCGAGAGAGGACTTTACTCCTAAATTGCCTACTCAGTCGAAAGTAGCACTTGTTGGCAAGAGTGATTCTGCGTTGAATTTCCATGCTGAAATTTTTATCGGTGATAATGCTGGTTCCCAAGTAAACGAAATTCTCTACTTTCTTGAAATTATAACTGTTAACAGTGACGTGGGTGCCGAGCCGCGAATGCGCTGGCTGTTTGACAGGATAAACTTCGTCTTGTCCTCGTAGACACAATCGCTTTGCTTCCTTATCCAGCTTGGACTTCGCGGTCTGTCGATGTCAGCGGCATACGCCAGCAATTGCACGCTCTTGTAATAAATTCTTCCTGAGCAGTTCAGTTCTGCGGCTCTTATTTCTCCAACATTAGATTAAAGAAATCACATGAAACCCCCTTTGGTGCCAAACGGATCGGAGGAGTCTTTCCCAATTCTGATGTAAGGCGTAATCGGAGCTTTTCATTTAGTACGACATTGGTCAAGATGACAATTTTTGTACTAAAAGCTGAAGGAAAACATTTAGTACCTCGTAAGCTGCTTACCAAATGGGTCACTCTGTTTATTGAAGTGAAAACTAAGCCTTCTAAGAGCTCTAATTTTTGGTCATGTAAAGCGATGGAAATTCTGATTTTAACTCTTTGGGGATGCGATTTTTTGTAGAATTAATAAAAATTATGTATAACCTTTTTAGTATATGTATGTATGTATATATTTTTTTATTAAATCGTACAAAAATTATAAAAGCAAATTAAAAAAGGCACAGAATTCGTAGCACAGCTTTGATTCGTCTCTCGTAAGCATAACGGCTTATACATTAGTCTCCGTTCCATGAAATCTGAACTGTGAGTGCTGGCGGCACTTTTACAGACAGCGTTCCATAGATTTCCCAATTTAGAAGCAACGACATCTATCCACTGGACATATTGAATTATAATTCAGACATTCATCCATACAATATGTGTCCGCACCCTCACGTCCCTCCAGTTCGCCAATGGCAACGCAGTCTTTACTGTTAAGTGGAAGTTAAAATTAATAAATAAGCCAAATCAGATTAAATTTAGATTAATTGAGAATAAATTAAAATTAAATTATTAACAAATTATATTAAAGCAAAGCAAAATAAACTAAACTAACTACACTGAGTGTGCGGATGAGGTATTAATATCAGGAAGGGATGTACATCATTTGTTGCTTCACGCCAGCAGGGGTCTTCGTATTAGACTATGGGAATCAAGGAATTAAAATTGTGGAAGCAGACCAATTACGGGCACGCAGTGCTCTTGAAGGTAAGTAATAGCGGTGTGACGTGCGGAGATCTTTGCCACATAGAAAAGGCGGCTAGCCTCATACGGTAGAGTGAGCCGTTGTCAGGGGGAGCCACTATATTCGTTGACAGCCAGGCCGAATTCAAAACATTATGTTCCAGTGTAGTAAAGTCGAAAATAGTTGGAAAATGTTGTGCATCGCTGGCTTCACTGAGTCACATCAAAACCTCTTCCTGTTAGGTTCCTGGACATATCAATATCGAACGGAGATAATGGAGGTGAAAATATCGGACCTCTACAGATTAATCAGTGGTAGTAATTGGTTTAACAGTCACCGCAGTGACACTGTGGAATAAATTCGGTTAGAAGTATAGGTCGCCTCCTGCTACTCATAGGGGACATAATTATATTGGCTAAGTCTTCCACAAAAACTAATCTAATACATATGTAGCTTAAATTTTTAGTTGAATAAAACTCACCTCAAAGCGAACCCAACTAATCTGAGCTAATTGAAATTAATATAGAATAAACAAATCTAAACTCAACTAATCCTAACTAAGCTGAGCTAAACAAAACTAATAAAAATTAAATTAACAAATTGAAATAAAATATAAAAACTAAAACTAAACATTAATAACTGTAGATACTTACGGACAGTAACATGCAGTTTCCGGACAATTAGGTGGATAACGCAAGCAATTAGTTTCACACCAGTTATCCATGCCCGGTATCGTACGGAATGCTGGAGCGGCAATACATTTTTGATCGCTGAAAAAAAGCAAAAATTATGAAGAAAGCCAGTAGAAGATTTTATTATTGCTCATTGAGTTTTAAAAATTCAAACTTTAAAACTAAAATACTGAAAGAGTGCTTATTAATTCAATATTTTCTGCTTCAACCCACAAAAAAATATATATATAAAAAGTTTCGTAAAACCACGAAACAATTTTGAAGAAACTAAAGGCAAATCAAAACCAAAACCATACTCTAATATAGGATATATTGGAAAAAATATTTTTTTATTTAAATAAAATCAGATGTCAGTATAGAACCAGCAAGGTATCAGTAACCCATGGCCCAATAAACAGGATAAGTAAGTAATAAAAGATCTTTCCTGTTTTTTTTTTGTCATTCGCCTGTCTTATAAAAAACAAGTAACTTTTAAGCAAAAAGCAAAACCCGACTTCAATTCTCATATAAAAATTTAAGATTATCTTTAAATTCTTCATGATCCAACGATCGGATTTAAACCAAATTAGGTAACGCCTTTCCCGTAAAAAAAGAATTATTCAAATAGGTTAACGTAGTCCAAAGTTTTGCGGTAACAAACAAAAAAAAAATATATTCCGACGAATTGATAACCTTCCTCCTTTTTATGAAGTCGGTAAAAGAAATTAATTGCAAATTTTCCATAAAGTTAGTGTCAAATCTATATAAATCGTTTTTTTTTGCTCTTATAATTTCACCATGTGAAAAACCAAATAATTATGTAAGTTTTAAATATGCGCTTACATTTATTAATTTTAATTTTTGTAATTGGTAATGATGTGCCGGATAGAGATTTTGCCGGATAATAAAATAAAAAAATAATAAAAAATAAGAGCCGAATTCGGATATTCGGATATCGGATTTGGTAAATAGAGGAGAAACGTCCAAGGAAAAAGATAAACAACAATGGATGCCACTAAGCAAAAGCGCGTGGTTGATGTATTTTTATTTTGAAATGTGATGAAAATCTAACTATGAATCATGCATGCTTACATATCGCCCCGCTTCCCGTATCGTCCCGTAATGCTTCATTGTTGCAATATTTTGTGACCCACGTTTTAAAAAAGCAGTTATGCAGATTCATGGCAAAATGTCCAAATAACCTAAACCAACAAGATTTTTTGATAAAAATGCATATTTGCAGTCACGGGACGAACTTAAAGTAGATACTCTTTATTATCTTCCAAATTGGAAAATATTGGCGTAAACGAGCAGTGTACACCAAATTTTTTTTTAAATTTTCGCCTCTTTTTCTAAAATTGGTGGGCGATAATGTAAGCCAATTTTGACGTTCCTTCAGATTTATGCTTTTATATTTATACCCAGCGTATAATATGAATTTCATCAAAATCGGGTAACATTTACTATTTCCGCCCACAAGAGCTGTGGGCGTGGTAGCGCGTCGGTATTTACCACTTTCCACATTTCTCATTCATAAGTGAAGAATACCGCATATACGAAATTTCATCGAATTTGTAGGACGCGGAAAAAAGGCAGCGATTTAGAAATGTAGAAATATTTACGGCGCCCCCTTATACCCAGACAAGAAGATTCTTTAATTTGGTGTAAGCATAGTCGCAAAGAATTTCAAATTTGCTACACGGGCAATGAAGTGTCTCTACGTACCACCTTCCTCAGTGAACTTCTGAAGAGCGTTTAGTGCATCGGGTAGCGCTTATGTTGACAAGTAATTTTTAGCAAAAAAAAAAACGACTTCAACTCTCATATAAAAAAAAAATCTATATATATATATATATCTCATTATCCACTGATCGGATCTTAACCAGATTAGTATGGGACCACCTCTGAGGCAATACCTTTCCGATGCAAAAAGAATTATCGAAATCGGTTGACGTGGTCCAAAGTTATGCGGTAACATACATAAAAAATAAAAACAAAAAAAAAATTAAAAACAAATATTCCGACGAACTGATAACCTCCTCCTTTTTTGGAAGTCGGTTAAAAATAGAAATAGGTTGTTGCCCGATAATGCGGTAATGCTTCTCTTCATAACATCCGTAGTAATTGGCAACCCAAAAATCGGAATATTAGTAATGAAACATTTCAAAAAGAAATCGATATTTCCTTCATTTCAAAATGACTTCGAGAAAAAAATAGCGAATATATTTAACATTTCTTTGAATTTTATTTTCTAAGTAAACACAATTCCACCGCTCTGTGAAGGTCTGAGTTCAAATCAACCGTGACCGAAATCCTGTTAAATCCGGTAAAGTACTGGTCATTTTATAAATCTTTTCCAACACCCAAACTTCTTTCCTCATTAGCAGCATGCTCCAAAACAAACTGCGTTCCAAAATTCATATTCAAATAATTTCATTTTGGAAAGTAGACAATTGCAAAGTTCTCATTAAAATACAAGTTTTGAATGATAAAATTGAAAAAAAAAATAATTAGACCTTTTTAAACGCCTTCCACATAAATACCCAATAAAATATTAAATTATTTTAATAATTACCTACTAATTAAAACGCGCATAATTGGCATAAACAAAACATTTTAAATTTTATAAACAACCAACAGCAAACGATCACTGCACTGCGTATGGACAATGCCGAATTTAGTGAACAGATTTAAGCCGAATCCATTGATGAAAATGGAGAAGGAAAACGAGAACCAGGACTTGCGTCGAAAGCTGAAAAACTTGCAGAAAGGTGAGTTCACACATTTGACCAATAAGTTCAACAAATTTCGTCATACTGATTTCAAATGACTGCAGTAACCTTTCGTTCGCTCTCAGAGCGATCACCAGGACAGACCAACAAGGAAACCGTTTGGGATCGTTTGAGCAAAGTAAAGAAGAGCGCCAGTAATGAAGGTAGTTTGTTGACCGGCAGCAAGGGCCGTACCCTAATGCCAGGTAAGTGTTCGATGCGATTGCAGCCGGCGCGCCCGCTGGGACAACGAACTAACAAAAAGCCGCTTACACCAAATACAAATCTCAACAAGCGGATTATGGAGAAGAAATCTTACCGTATAATTAAAGGCAAAGCGGTGTACACACCTGAGCTGGAAGCTGATGACAGCACATTCAGTTGCAAGCGTATAAAATATGTCAAGGAGATTATGACAGCGCGCAGTATTTGCGATTCCAAAACTTCTTCGGACGAATCGGATTCCGCAAAAACTTCACCCAGATCCGAGAATATGAGTCCCATGCTAACAGTGCCGCGCATCAAAGATTATGATACTGATGATTTCGAAATAGTGAATCAAGTTGAGTCACAAGATTCGTTGGAGGACTTTGTGGTTGCTCCACTCATACCTGTGCCAACCACCGAGTCCTTGAATATGAGCGCCTACATAACATCAAACTTTTGCTGCCTTTTGGACAACAGGAAAAAGAATATGCCACCCGAGGAGATATCGGTGATCAAAAATGTGGTGAAGACTGATGAGCGTCATCGACATCTCCAGCCAAACGATTCTATATTGTTCAAGGACATACTCAAAACGCAGTTGAAAGAGATAATACGTCAAGAAATGGTTGTCAAATCGGCTTTAAAAAACTTACACGAACTTCCAGAGACCGACTGCCCATCCACTATAGCAACACATAAGCCAAGCACACCAAATTCGGCGCATAAGAAACCACAAGTGGATGTGATCTTCAAGAATGTACCAACGTTGGAAAAAGAGATAATCATCTTGAAAGCTTTGGGTGAAAAACTGGAGGCGACGCTAAAGCGCACGGTCTCTCAAAATGAACTAAAATTACTCGAGCTCAACAAGTTGGCCACACCCATAGCCAACAAGTGGCACTGTTCCTACCCAGACAATATGGAATATGCAAGCATTGCGCTTATGCCCAAGGGTATACGCAGATGCGTGGGTATTCTACAGGAATTCCGCATGGAGCTCAAGACCATTGTCGAACTGAAGGAACAAGCCAATCATCACTTTTATCTACCCTCCCACAAAGATAACAGCGAGCTCAAGCGCACTACGTTCAAGCGACTAAAAGAGAACCCCGACTTGTTGATGCGTTACCTGAAGCCCAAGAATACACTCGTACCTTTTAATGTGTTGGAGCAAGATCCTTGTTTCTTTAACAGCTTTCTCTATAGTCCTTGTGTAATAGGGGGCATGGAAAGTGTTGTGTCGCTGTCAAAGGATTTGGTTGCGGCAACGCCAGCCGCGAAGTTGTCGACGACAGAGGCTGGTGATAGTGCGCGTAGTGTTTGTGTCCCTTACAAGTATGTGAAAGAGCCACTGAAGATCGAAGAGATTCAAAACACTCTAACCGATGCCTTCTTTAATGAACAGCCTCCGATAGCGCCGCAACAGCAAGCACAAAGCTTGCCAACGGAACCAGAAAATGAAGAACTACACGTACCTCGAGTGTGTGAGGCGCCAGTGCGTGGGCGAAAGCGGCGTCGTATACGAAAGCGTACAACACCGTTGTCGCCGTACAATGACACTGATCCGAAGAATAATTTGTTCAAGACTATACTGGTGGGCAGCGTTCAAATATCAGTGTTCTTGCTACTTATTATGGCTGTCACATATCCTGACGTAAGGTGTTGAAGTGGATGCCAGTTTTCGATGGCGAATTTATTGCTATGAATATTTGTCTCAGTCCTAGAGATTTGTTACTTGTATTGCATGGTCATTGTTCGACGGTTTGCTTTTTTCCTGCACTCTTAACTTATAAGAAATTCTTAACTTTTCCAATTAATTTGGTTTAACTAATAATTCAAAATTCTTGACGGATCAAGAAATTACAGAAGTGAAAATTTGTCTGCTCTTTCCAAGAAGAAATTTGATTTCTGTAACTTCTTTTACATCGATTTTGTGATGTATAATACTACTTACTATATATGTACATGCATATGTATGTATTAATAATAGGTAAAATTCTCGAAATTAGCGAAGTAAAATATACGAGTGTTTATAAAAGGTGTGCTGTTTCTAATATTTATAAACGGATCTTATGTTAAGTTAATGATAGGAATGGCCGAAAGGCTTTTTTACTTCGTGAAACTAATTCTACCGTCTCTTAACATTCCAGACATTTGCTAGGATCGGTCACCGGTCTTCCTGCCAGTCTGAGGTCCGTTTGAGGCGCGCCTCGAAGTTTCTCTAATATTTTCAAGTTTGCTCACAAACACATATCGCCGTTATTTATCAATGCAAAAAGCCCGGACCTGATTGACATTTTGTTTATTTCTTAGATATTTTATTAATTAACTAGCTCCCACATATTGTTGAAATTTGTAGGACAGTCCTAAAAGTATTTCCTATGTTATCTTGAACAGATTGTTGCTTTTTTAAAAATTGACCAACTCAGCCCATTAATGACGAAAATATATAATAATCTTCCTTAAGAACTTATTCTTTTATACTGTATTTCACGAGTTTTTGTTTGCAAAGTATGTATTGTGTACTCTAATAAGTTTTGTGAAACTTCATCATTTGGATAATTTACTATGAGCTATAATACCTTGAATCACTCACACACTGCTGTGTGGTATCCCCTTTCAGCGCTTGCAAACAAGCTTCGATTGTGCCATACTTCCGAGTGCATATTTCATACTTTTAATTGTCATTAACTAATAACGACAATTTGGTAATGCCGGAAGAACATTTGTTAGTAATTTTTTAAAACTACTAGCAAAATTTTCCCGGTATTTTTTAAAATTTTTAGTTATTTTTCCTCTTGTCGGTGACGGCGACACCTACTTTATTTTAGTAAATTGAGCGCATGTCGCAAGTTGACAAACCATGTTATTTGTGCTCATTCAGCTTGAAGATGGCGCTGCAATGTAACTCTTTCATTGCATACCTTCAGGCGGTTAGCAGCACTGTGAGAAAAGTAGCTCTGGATATAAAATCAAAAAGTTTTAAAAATTTAACACAAGAAACGTTTAATCAAAAAGGCGCGAATAATTTTTCATCATTGATGGATAAGGACTATGTACAGTGTTGTGCGTTTAGCTTGAAGTTAGCCTTTTGGTTTTAAAATATTTTCTATCCCTTTCGTAAATTTAGTGGCATTTAATAAAAAAAAAATTATTGAATTTTGATAATAAAGGTAAAAAGAACGACAACTGAAATTACCCTCAGCTCACAAATACAAAGAAGCGGGCAATGAAAAGGCATTTTTTTTTTGTAGAAAAGAAAACGCTATAAGAAGAATGTTCCGATACTTTTATTGTAAAAAATAAGCGTAATAAATAAAAAATATTAAAACCATGTAGCCCATTAAAGTTTAGAATAATAAAGTGCAAGTTTGTGGTATATTAGATTTTTTTCTTTTTTTTCCTGGCTACAGTGTTTTCTTATTTTTTATTTATTACGTTTGCGGCATGAGAAGTCAATAGAAACAATGTGTCGAAAGCATTCTTTTGGATCTAATGACCAAGTACGTCGTAAGCTTTCCTACAATAGAATAAAGAAGAGATCAAGACACTGTTTTGGGGAGCTCTGTAAAAACTTTCTATTACGAAGGTTCCACAACTAAAAATGGAACTGGTGCTGCATGGCATAAGGAAGGTTATTTCAGATATTTTTCTGTTTTAGGTACAATAACAACGGCTTTTTATTCAGAATAATTGGAGAAAGGCGGCTACACTTAAGGCCTTGGAAACCGCTCGCTCCTACTCAAAAATTCACAGTCCAGGAAGAGGCTGAAGTCGGTTGCAAAATGAAATGAGTTGCCTCCATATTCTGGTGGCCAAAAACGCTGTAAAAACTTCCGTTTAACATCTGAACAAACTCCAAAGCAGGGCTCTACTGTCGGTGACAGGAGCAATGAGAACTTGTTCAACTGCGGCCGTAGAGTCACTCCTAAGTTGGACTCCCCTCCCCTCCAGCAGCAGCTTCGAGGAAATTGCTGATTTGTGGACTTAGTCGGTCCTCTTCGAGGCTCATAATTGAAACGTGGGTAAACTCAGAACACAGTAAGTAATGGGTGAGGTAGAGGGCCTTAAACAAGCCAGAATGTTTGGTTGTCCTTTTGCTAAGAAATATATAAATTTCTTGAGCAAAAGCCAATATCAAGTTGCTAATTGGCTATCTAGCGGGCCATAATCACCTGCGCTCTCACATGCACCAGATTGGTCTTTCGACAGAGCCTGCTTGCTTTGAAGACGTCGGCGCACATTATGTGATAGCAATATTTCAGTTCTTATGGTTATGGTTACAAATTCGTCTACCAAGAAACTTTCAGCTTTCATATGAGAGGCTAATAACATCTTGGCCGTGAGTGGTAGGAGCCATCAAAGGGATGCAAAAAATCTAGGTCCAAGCCTAAGGCTCATGAGAACTGTTGGTGCAACACTGACACCTGTAAAACTGCTAAGTTTCTCCTGAAAACGCCAGCAACTGGGATGGGTGGGATTACATCTCAGAGAGAGGAGGAGTGAACTACGAGCCCTGATAGAACTGATATCGGCATACAAACTATAGGAAGACATGTTCACCATAGCCATTATCGAGGCCTCCCTGTGCACAACTTGTTTGGAAGATGAGACTTCGCAAGACTAAGATGGCACAATTTTGAGTCGGATGTCTTGAGGATGGATGGGCTACACTCCTTTTTCTCGACAAACTACTACTAAACGAGTCTAGTAGGTAAGTCTGCAGAAGAGTATTGAATTCCCACCTCGCCTGTCTTTCCCTATCCTTTTAATCCATTCTCTAGGTCTTAAGTACATACATACATAGAATGAGCAATATTACCTGAGTGGAAGCAAAAATTGAGTGAGTATACAACTAAAAACTCAATTAGGGAGCTCACAATGCCTTTGTTATAGATTTAAAATTTAAAAGGGTCTATTTTATCAAACAACTAGAGCTCAGATCTTCACGATAAATAATAATCATAATTAAATATAAGCAAAGTGTATACCAATTCAAGCAGTTTCCTTATAGTTATGCCATCATAATATAGTGCTTCTCATAACTTTACGACACTCGCATATTGACAAGATTTGACTAGTTGTCTTAAAATTTTTTAATTTTAGTTATATTTTTTTTTATAAAAATATAGAATATTCTTTAATAAAAACCACATAAATCCCAGTTTCAATCTTTGTGCAACATTTGGGTGTCGTAAAGTTATGATAAGCACTATATTATGATGGCTTTTTTTAACATACAAATCCGAACTCTAGAACATTTGTAACTCGCTGGCGATGATAAAATTCTTACAAAATTTTAATGCTGCCAACACCAAAGCATTATTATCTATAACAAAAAAAAAATAAAACAACTTCGCCATATAAATTTTTGTGCATACTTATATTTGTAACAGTGAGTGTATTATGTATAAGATAATAATACATATTAAGTTAAGTTGTGTTGAAATAAATTTTGTGATAGTTCTAACTGTAAATTTGATATATGTATACCAAAACCAAATTAACTACAGTATAGCAGCTACGCGTTTTTTTCTACGTATACAGTAAACTCCGGTTAAGTATTATCGAGAAAAATTTTATGATTTTATGTTACATGAAGGAATTTATTCCAATTTATATTCACCGAATGCGAAAAGAAGAAAAGTTAATATCTACTTTCATACATACATGTTTTCTCATAAAGTAATCGATTTAATATTTTGCCATAGCATTAGAAGGCACTAGAATTTTCAAAGTGGTACTTAAGACGGAAAGTTAGATACTTAACCGGAGACTACAGTATGTACAAATAAAAAATTATAATAAGCAAAAAAAAAAAGAAAATTAGAAAAACAAAAAATTAGCAGCAAAAAGCAATCAAAAACTCAAGAAGCATCTTATCCTACTGCTCTCAGTTTAATGCCTTGAAGTGTTGCTAAAAAAGCGAAGCATATAAATATAATCAGTTTAGCGCGAAATCAATTATAGCAATTCAATTTGTTAAGTTTTATGTAGATCCATAACAACTCTCTCCATCCACAAAACCTCACCCCTACTTACCGTACAATAAGCGGGAATACGTTATTATCCTCCGGCGCACGATAATCTCTATAGTAAAGTAGATAAGGAGATTTGTTATTCACGAAGATTGGCGGTACACCGCCACCCGTATTGGATACGATCGCAATATCGGCGCAGTTCCGGAATGTTTCTGTAGTTAATGGAATTTCTGAGTTAGCAGCTCAACTAAAAGTTACAAAAAAAGGCGTTTACTTACCCGCCTTACCGCAACCCACCGCCTCGGTGCCGTTGCCGCATTTGCCCCACATATTGGCTGTGTAGTAGGTCCATTGCAGCACACACTGCGTACACGTGACGTAGGGTGGCAGACGGACACGATAGCGGAATATCTCTTTCTTGGGTGCATCGCGTGGTATGAGAAAACGATGTTCACGCCGGCTACCAGAAATGTAAAGTGGAAAGCGATCGAAACATTCTTGTGAAGCCTCACGACGTGGATTGTTATTGGGGCAGAGGAACATTTCGAAACGGCCATAATGATTGGCAGTAAGTTCGATTTCTACGTCGATTTCCTAGAAAAATACAAAAAACAAAGAAAAACAAATGAAGATCCCACCTAGTGGCTAAAATAATCATATTTTTTACTCACCTGCCCTGCCGCGTAGTACCGTGAAATTATCCCTTTCGCATATTCACCACCCGCCTCGTGTGGGCGTGGCGTTTTCACATGATACGCATCACCGCACACTCCACATTTCCCCGCATTCTGTTCCCATTGCACTGCATATCCACCGCAGAAGAGTTCGTTGTCATTGTAGTTTACCGCATTTGGAAATCCAAAGCGCCACATGGCATTGCGCGCTGGTGGATCCATCAGTCGTCCATGGCCAAGCACGGATTGTAACTTTAAACTGCAGATCGCAGCCTAAGACAAGAGGAGACATTTTATTTTATTAAATAGTGATATGTCTAGTCATTTCAGGGTTCTTTTTTTAATCCTTCAACTAAATTTCTTCCCTTCTAATTTTACTAAAGAATTTCGATAAATAGACCTATATAAAAACCTATAGAGACCTATAGTAAAATTTTGTGTGTAATTTTTTGTGGAAGGTACTAACCCTTTAACTCCTACTACATCTGGTCCTTTTGTCGCAACTTTTGAAAAACTTACAATTAAAGGATTAAAGATATTCTACGAACATGTTCTATAAACAATTTTATTGGGGAATTTTTTATTGGAATTTTTATTTATCGAAAACCCTCTTGAGACTTAAGGAATTGGAGTAAATACAGACCATTTCGTTAAATAATTAACATTTCTTACCAAAAAGTCCAACTTTTAACCCTTCTTAAACAGGTTTCTGTGTTGGTTTAGACAGAAACCTGTTGTTGTTGTTTTAACAATATAAAATTTTGCCAGAGGTTTTGGGGTCTGATGATGCAGTGAGAGCCCGTAGTCAGATAAAAATCCGGCTCGTTCCGTTTACGTCAAACTGTCAGAACCTGGGTTGTTCATTGTGAATGCCTTCTCTGAGGTCTCTGAGTAGGCGCAAGTTTATGGCCGGTGTTTATAAAAATATTCATGACAATATTACGTTGAAAACCTTGATTATGACATATAAAATTATGGAGATCGCATAGCCTGAGAAGGTATGTAGTTTTTTGGCCGATTAACATTGGCTTTGAATATCTTGAGACCTTCGTAATAAACCCTTTGGAATATACATATATAATGCCTAAAGAATATTCGTCCATTCTTCTCGTAAGCTTACAAAAAGGTTATTTCTTTCCAGGACTCAGTGAGTACAGTGACGTCAACAGCGCTTCCCCTTAAGCTATTTATTTCGTATTTCTTTTGTAAGGGTACGTTGAGTGCCACCACATGAATTGCCTTGGACTGCAACTTAACGTATGAGGTTACTATTATACCTAATCTAACCCAACCAAACTCTTCACAAGAAAGATAAGATTGGATGGTTGAGCAGCTAAGAGTAATTCTGGATACAAAACTAAATTATGTTGGAAAAACATAACGAATTTGTTTCGATTTGTGCCCCAGGTCAATCAGAAGTAATAAGACACCAGGGCATTTGGTTTAAATCAGGCAGTCCTTGGTCCGCAACCAGCTTTAGCTATAGTAACTGGCCGAAAATTTTGCTTAGCAATGCCTAGAAGGGTTCGAGGCTTCCTGCATTGTAAAGATTAGATATGCGACTTTTAGCAGCGGCGAGCTGACAAACGAAAAGCTGAGCTCTTTAAAACCCAGAAATTTTCTAGACTAGATTGCCCTCACCCGGTTCGCTGAGTGTATGGAGTTTCTGCGAGTCACATTCCGTGTAATTTATTTCTAAATAAACTCAACACATTTAAACTCAGTTAAAAACATAGTAGTCTCTCACATTTTTTTAACCCCCTCTCAATATTTTCAAAGTAAAACCTCCTTCAATTTTCTTATTCCCTAAATTGAAGCCCAATTTGAGTTTTTAAACAGGAACATGCAGTTAGGAAATTAAGCCCTTCCCATATTGCCCATATTGTAATATTCAAATTAGTAAATATTTTGTGATACACATTCCAGTTACTTAACTCCCTTAGTTCAAGTAAAATCTAATTTTTCCAACAGGTGGAAACCCACATAGTTTAAAAATAAAACCTTTTCAAAACCATTACGATTGATACCCATATTGTTATAATAATTAAATTTAATTTATTGTATTTAATTTTTAAACAGGTGAACATTTGTAATAATAATATTCTAAATCTTCGAACAAAAGGTTCCGAAACAATCTTTCGTTTGGCATCTATATTTAAAAATTTCAAACAGATTGCGAACAATTAATTTAAATTAGACTTTTTAAACAGGTGGCTTTTCAAAATATTTTCAAACTACAACCTTGGTAACCATCTTTAGTCTAATAGTCATATTATAATAAACATTTCAAATAAAAAGTGTTTTAATTTCAAGTTGAATTTGATTTTTTTAAACAGGTGGCAACCAGCACAATGGGCGGTATGTGCCCTGATTGCTGTTTTCTGGACGAATTCTTTGCTTTAATTTTCTACTCAATTTAAATAGGTATCTCTTAAAATATTTTTATTAAGTCGAGGTGTATCGCTATGCTGATCAATTCTTTCATTAAAAGAAATCCTTTTGTCGGCCTTTTTTGCGTAATTAATGGTAATTTATCCCTTTCAAATGTTATGATTTTTTCGTTAAACACATAAGAGTTTGGGAATATACAGCATGCTTTCCAAATTTTTTTTACTCAATAATATTTTTGAACATTCTAACTAATGGATGGAAATATATTTATTATAAAATTAAAAGAAGAAACTTACCAATGCAACTAGCAGGGACTGCATGATGATTTATTTATTTTGAAAGCGTCTAAGCTAAAATAAACCAAAAGACATAAATGTAAATAATATAAATACATATCGCTTTAAATATAGTGTCATAACTAAGAGGTAAACAATAATTATGAGAAGTATGTATTATTTAAAGTGGCATGCACTTTTTTTCATTGATTTCTGCTATCGAATTTGGCTTCCTTGCTTTTGATTATAAAAATAAATAAATGGTTACGCTTATCGCGATCAAGTGATCCTATCACTTCAATACTGAAACACGACCAGCAATAAAACAAAAAAATCGCTGCTGGTAATAAAGTGAAGACCAGAAGTCATTGTGAAGCCGGTACTATAATTATTACTCAAATTGCTGGAAGGACGCCAGGTTTGTAAAAATGCATATTGCCATCAATGTGCAAGAATTATAGTCTGTTGTTGGTTGTTTATAAGATAATTGCTGTTGTTGAGTAAATAGCTGGTAATGAGTAGTACTTATCACCAATCTTTATCTACTGGATCGAATTGCCCTCTAGCTCGATCGACTTAACGACGGCAATGACTGAAGGTAAAAGTGGAGGTGGAGTGTGAACATCCCATAAAATATTGAATTTCATGGATTTCAGGAGTTTACAAGCCGAAGAGGACTTTGCTTTGTAGTTAAGCAATCATGAATTGGAAACTGTTTTTTTTTTTTATTATTTAAGAGGTTAATAACTTCTAAAGAAGAGCGCTGCTTGTAGTTTATCACTAAGGGCCAAATTCACAGTGCGTAGTTAACTCAGAATCGTCAGTTAACTACAAATTTTCAGTACAAATTTAGCCTAAAATGAAATGCGGTCGAAATATATACATTAGGGCGGATCAATTTGTATGGGAAATTTTTTCGAATATGAGCGTATGGCACAGAAGGACTCTACGTGTAATTCTAAGAAAATTATCTAAAATCAATTCGGAGTTTGCCAAATTGCAAAAATTTGTTTCTCAGCATTTTGCTGTAGTGTCGTAAAGACGTGCTTAAATTTTGTATTAAAATATGCTTTAAGGGGTTTTTTGGTATAAGGAATCCTTTTCTGCACTTATTTTTTTCTTAAAACTTCCACCAGAGGGGCGACAGTGAAAACTTTCATATTTTCTTCGAAACCTATTCTCGAAATTCGTCAAACTCCAAATTGATTTTAGACCCATGGTTTCTGCGGCAAATTTGCTTAGGGTTACACGTAGAATCCTCCTAACCTATACGCGCATATTTAGTCAAAAAAATCGACCCGGCCTAATATACATACATATCGTCGCCTGGGTAAAAGATTGTCGTATGTTAATTTCGGTAGGTTGTGGGAAATCGCGATTAAAATTTGGATTACAATTTCTCAAAAACGCGAAGAAAGGTTTTCTCCAAAGTCTATGAAAATGTTACTAGTTCACAAAAATCTTAAATTATTTAATTTTTAATGTTTATTGTTAATTATTTTTGAGTTTATGAAGGATTTTCTTTAGTAAAATTTTGTCGTAAGCGTAATTTGTTCACAATTTGGCATCCACTTTTTATGAAATACGACAAAATGTGATCAAAATTTCTACTAAATTAACGATACTTTTTACTCAATATCTCGGAAAATAAAGGAGATACACAAAAATGGAGAGCACCATTTCTTAGATATTGATTAGTTTAATATGACTGCATCACTAACTAAATTTTTACTAAATTATCGAAAAATTTTTAGTCAATATCTGGGAAACTAAAGGAGATGCTCAAATAATTACAAAGCTATAGGTCTGATCTTTAATAAGATATGAATATAAAGAAGAAATATAAAAAAAAAATAACAATATTCTGATCCGATACGGTTGGTAGCCACGAATTTGAAATCATAATTTTGTTCAAAATTTTCATTCCTGGAAAATAAAAATTTATTTTCCATATCCACCTATTTATAAGTACAAATTTTTCAACCCAGTCGCAGCAGAAAGTATTAAAAATGAATTACAAAAACTAAAATCGGAAAACGCTGATGAAGTTACAGATTCTCCAAATTCTGAAACAGCCAAAGGAATGAGAATGAAGAATTCTTTTTAAAAAGCTTTAGAAAAACTTGACATATCTGGTTTGGCTTGTAAGCGCTGTTAAAACAACGATTATGCTAGATTCTAATTGTTTCTTAAAAATAGTTGACATCCGCATTCATATCCGCATCTGCGGATGTTAGCTTTTAGATATTCGCATCCACATTCGCATCCGCGGATGTCTAAAATTCAACATTCGCAACATCCCTGATATGTATGTACGCAAAACATATACACAATAGGGGAGCTCACGTTGAGTAGCATTTTAGGTGTAAAGTTGCTAAGTTCCAATCTACCACATGTTTTGTTGCTCTTCCAACAACAAAATGCGTGCTAGATTGCTACGTAGCAACTATACACCTAAAATGCTACGGAAAGTGAGTACCGCTAATATAACTGTTAGCAAAACTTGTGCCAAGATTTAATTTTTTTCTAAACTAAAAATTAAAAAGGGCATGAAATATCTATATTACTTAAGAAAAATTTAAATACTACTTGACGTCACTAAAACCATAAAAATTCCATCATCAAACGAATACCGATATTAGAAATTTTCGGACAAATATATGGTCCACTCTTTATGACAAATAAAATTTGTGTCTTAAAATATTTCCATTTGCAATAAATTACTAACTATATCATAACTAACTATATATATATATATGTATGATTACTTATCAGACATAGGCGGGCAAATTTTTTTTTATGAAACTTTTATTAGACACATTATATGTGCATACCTATTTCATTATAATATATTTTGTATTCATATTTACATATGCATACTACGTATTTGCTAATAAATGGGTTGAATAGAAATTATTCACTTCATTGACATTCACTTACTTCTACACATAATTAATTTATGCGGCTGAGGTTCAACGGACTACGAACGTAAATATTTTTAATAAAAGTAGATTGTATTAGTTATAAACCGTCACTTAAGCAAAACAAGATGCTTTTAAATATTTGTTGTTGCTATAACTATGTTGTTTGATTTTTTGACGCTATAAACCAGTATACGCCATAAACATAGTAAGAAAGTCGTTGTTTAGATTTTAGTCATCCAGTTTTTTCTGCCTATACACTTTTTGGTGCAAAAATACAAAAGGCTATGTGTGATACCTGCAACATATCGTCGCTCCCATGTCAAAATATCAAATGCTTTTTTACATTTTCGATACCTTGCGATATGACCAAGATAGATTTTTAAGAAAAACAAAAAAAAACATTTGCAGTTTTCCCAGCTTATTTTTCGGCATACGCTCCTATAAATCGCGATTTATAACTGGTTAAAATTGTTAATAAAAAAATGTATCTGCTAGTTTATAAGTTTTAGTTTGGAAAAACTGCACACCAGCTAAATATCTATCTATTTAAAATTTTCTGTTTTACGAATATACTGGAAAAGTCCGCACATTTCTCTGTCTCATTTTCCTCAAACGAAAAGAGACCAGCCAGCAGCCCAACAAGAGCGTAATTGTTAAATATCTGTATACCCTGGAATTCGGAGTAAATGAAGCTCAAACAAAATAATTTTACCGAAATTTGCAATCAGCGTGACCAGGTTGGTTTTTGAGGCTAGGTTTAGTACTCACATTTTTGTTTTGCACCGGAATTTTAAGACCAGCTTCGTGGACCTTTGAATAAGTAATTTTCATATTTTTAGTACTGAGAAAGGTATAAAAATTTGCGGTGAACTTTCCAATTATCTTTATTGTTCTTATTCTGAATTTTTGACCAATGAGACGAACCTTTAAAAATTCGAGCAACTAAGATGAAAGATTATTTGAATTGCTATGGAAAATTCTTACAGCGACTATGTTACTTCTGTCATAAAACCAGTCGGCAAAAGCTCTTATAATCAACGCTTTTAGGCAGTGCTTTTTAAGTAAGACCTCACCTTTGGAAGTTGTATTAGAAGACCTCCCAACAGTTCTGCTCTTCGGAGGCAAACGAGAAGATTTTTTTTTTTTTTCAAAGAAACGGATCTCAAATAAAGACAAAATTGAAGCTTGCGTGTCGCGGTGAGTATAGAGCAAAGTTAAATTTATACTGTTTCGAGCACGGAAGGTCAATCGCTTTAAGAAATCGAAAAAAGGCCTCGTAAAGCCGACTGGGAAGCAATTTAAAAATTAATTTAATGAGTAGTGTTCACTTGCATTTGAAGAGGTGCTATTAAACATTTTGGCATAGAACTTTTCTAACCTTTTTTCAAGTAAATTTAGCTTACTTTTTTGTGATCATCTGGCTGATCGCAATACAATGCCAAAGGGAAAGGTAAGGTTAAGAGTGAGGATTAGGGTAAAGGTAAAGGACGATGGGCGACCGCTGTTGAAAAAAAACTTTTTTGGATGTAGAAGCTCCCAGGAACCAAACCTCGGGTTGAGTTGTAGCCCACGCCTCTAACCAACGGCCACGGCATAGTAATTAAAATTCAGACACTGCGACGTATCGGCAACTATCTTTAGTGCTGTCAAATAGATCCTTTGTCGATCCTTTTCTCGCGGGTCTTTTCCAAAATTTAGCGTATTGTGATTACTTGGTCTATGGTGGATTTGCCTGGTCTAACGCCACACACGAAAATACCTTGTAAACCTATGCTTAGACGGCTGATGCCGCGGTAGTTGGCGCGGATGGCGGGGTAGCCTTTCAGGTGGTTCTCTTTTCCACCAGCATTTCAAGCTCTTCGTAATCACGTATTTCTACTTCTTATTGCGGCAAATACGTCCCTCTTCAGTTCCCTATAGCGGTCCCAACTAGCGCGCGTTGCGCCCGATCGCAGCGTGGCTCTGTAGGCGACGTCTTTTTCCTCTGCAGCCTCCTTACACTCCTCATCTTACCAGTTGTTTTTTCGGGCTCGCTGAAATCCAACTACTTCTTCGGCGGCGGTACGTAGTCCTCTGCTACTGATGTGACCATCAGGGGTCCATCGGGGTGAATGACAGTACTCGGTGACGGATTCTCTCTACCACCACAAG